ATATATATATATATATATATATATATATATATATATATAGACATTCTCACAGCACATACAAATATGTATGTAGAGATATTGTCTGCCAGACTTATATATGGTCATGGGTATATGCCCTTTTGCCTAGATACACCTGATCATTCAGCCTGTCTACCTATGTATTCAACCATAGATTAATGCTTGTTCTTACTGATGATACAGTATTGTGTATGTCAAAGTGTTTATCTTTGTTGTCTGTACCTCTTGTGCTCCCCTCTGTGTCTTCCTTTTCTTTATGTTATTGTGTTGGTCATTCACTTTTGGTATATTGTCTTTCCTTTCAACCAAATCAATTCTCATCTCTTACCTAGTCAGCAATTTCCCCTCCCCTCCCAGAAAGTTCTTGATTTTATTGGACCTTTCAAAGGACAAACGTTTGTTATTGTTGATCCCCCTTATTGAATGCTTTCTATTTCATTAAGTTCTACTTTTCTCTTTACTATTTCCTTCCAACTATTTTCTTTGGATTTAATCTGATGTTCATTTTTTGACATTTTTCACATGAGTAATTAAAATAATTAGTTTTCAACTTTTTCTTTTCTAATAAATGTACTTAAGGCTGTAAGTTTCACTCTAGGTATGGAATTAGCTGCATACCACAAATTTCAATATGTAATACTGTCATTACATTCAGTACAAAAATAATTTCTAATATCTATTATAGGAGCTCTTGTAGTGTAGTGCCTAAGGCATTTGACTGCTAACCAGAAAGCTGGTGGTTCAAACCCCCCAGCCACTCCTCAGAAGGAAGACTGGGCAATCTACTTCCATAGTGATACTGCCTTAGAAACCCAAGGAAGGGTCACTATGAGTCAGATCTGACTTGACGGCAGTGAGGTTTTTTTTTTTTTTGGTAATATCATTATAATGTCTTCTTTGATCCATGGGCTATTTAGAAGTTTATTTCCTATTTTCCAATTATATGAATAGTTTTTAGTTATCTTAAGATATTAATTTCTAGCTTAATTGCACTGAGGTCAGAGAACATACCCATTAGTGTTTCCTTTAAGGCAGTTGTTGGTGACAAATTCTCTCCATTTTTGTTTGTCTAAAAATGTTCTAGGCTGTTAAAGAAGAGGTGGGGCTTTAACACTCACATGAAACCCTCTTTCACATTATCTTATTGCTAGCATCTCTGAGATGGTTAGCAAGGGTCAGGAGAGAGGGGAGTAAAGATGGAGGGGCTCTGCCTAGAGAGGATCTTCTCTATCCACTCTGGATCCAGATGTTGAGAAAGTGTGAATACCTTCAGGTACTTTTTCTCTGCAGGTGTCCACCTCATGTCGCTCAGCCCAGGTTCTCCTGCACTACTTCGTGGGTGCCAATTACTCATGGCTGCTGGTTGAAGGCCTTTACCTTAACACACTGCTGGGGCCCACAATGCTTTCTGAAAGGCGGTTGTGGCCCAGATACCTGCTGGTGGGTTGGGGTGAGTTATCTGAACTCCCAGACTTTTCCCTTGCATGTCCATGGGAGCCTGAGAGAGTCTTTGGTCATGGTTAGAGACCCATCTGTAGAAATACCACCATCACTATACCACCAATACCATGAACAATGCCACCATCATCAATACCAGCACCATTACCAACAACAACATAATCAGCACTACTATATCACTATCATTACCAACAATAACACCATGACATTATCAACATCATTATTACTACCACCACCATCACCAATAACAGCATCATTAACAATTCCTCAATGACAAGAAAGGATGACAAGAAGCTCTAAAAGGAGATGTGTTCATGCACGTGTATGTGTGAGCACACATATACACATAAGCTGTCCCAATTCACACATTTTAAGAATTGAAAAGATTTTTGGTATAATCAGATGCCATTCCTTTTACCTTGTTAACAACTAAGTTTTCAAGATGAGGTTTTCTGGATTTATATAAAGAAAAAAAAAAAAAAAAGACCACATCTGGAATCCCTGTCTTTACAAACCCTTGGAGAATTTGCAGCTGCAGGATACCAAGGAAATAAACATGGCCTATGAGTCAGGAGGTCTTGGGTGGTGCAAATGGTTTGTACTCAACTACTAATCTAAAGGTTGGCAGTTTGAACCTACCCAGAGGCACCACATAAGAAAGATCTGGTAATCTGCTTCTATAAAGATTACAACCAAAAAACCTTATGGGACAGTTCTACTCTGTAACACATGGAATAATCATGAATCAAAATTGACTTGACAGAAATGGGTTTGGTAATTCAGGAGATTTTGGTTAATATCCTCAGATAATCTCTAAGCCACTCTGTGACTTGTGGCAAGTTTCTTCTTTTCCCTGGGTCTGGGTTCCTCTGACATTAAAAAAGGAGACATTCTCTGTGGTGCCATAAGTCTCTCCAGGCCCCAGGGCCCATGATTCTACAATGTCTGGGTTTTTATAAGTTTTAACCAGCTATGTTTGGCCCCATCAGGGTGGGAGGGAGGTATGTTGGCCAGCTAGGTCCTAACTATTTGTTTCTTCCCCAGGCTTCCCTGTGCTGTCTGTTGTCCCATGGAGTATTGTCCGTGCCCAGCTGGAGAACACCGGGTAGGTTACTCACCTGATTTCACACTTCTATAAGCCAGTAATTCCCAGATACTCCCCAAATATAATACACTATCTTCCCAGAGAATATCCCACCGTCTCTTGTTTTAGCTTTCTTGAACATATAAACTTTAGGAATGTAGATAAAATAATCAAAAGTCTACTTATAGTAATTAGTTTATTAATTTAGTTACACATTCAAATTAGCACAAAGATGCTGCCTAGATTAGCAATGACCCTGGTTATGTAGGGATATAAGTACAGAAATGGTTATTGTAGCTTGATTTCTTGGTGGGAAAAAACAACAACAGTTTTGTTTTTTTTTTTATAAAAGCAAAACAAAAAACCTGAATGTTCATCAATATGGGAATCACTGAACAAATTGTCATATACTTATATTGTAAAATATAATGAAACTATTAAAAAAAAAACTTAGTTCTGTATCATTTGATTTAGGATTGAATTTCAACAATATGTTGTTAAGCTTGCTGCCGAATGATATATATCATGTGTTCCCATTGTTTTCCCTCCAAACAATCACCACCACAAAAACAAAACAAACCCTACATAATTAAGGAAATGGAAGGTTGGGCAATCCATAGTGATACCCCCTCAGGAACCCAAGGAAGGGTCACTATGAGTCGGATCCAACTCCACAGCAGTGAGTTTGGTTTTGGTTTGGTTTATATGTTTGTATGAGTGTAGAGAAAGATGTAGAAGTTTAAACACCAGGCTTTAACAATGAAGAATAATTTAATAGCAAGAAGAATCAACAGTGCTAGTAATGATAAGAAATTATTTTAGTTCTCTCTGCCCACGCTCCCACCCCTCAGGAGACTGATGGAAAGCAATCTTAAGGGGAGCATCCTTCTTCCACGGGGCATGAGACTTTTCCATTGCACCTGGCCTTGTTTCTAAGTCCTCTTGCACTGCCTGGTCATTTTCCTTAGGTGCTGGGGAACCAATGGGAACAAAAAAATCTGGTGGATCATCCGAGGACCTGTGCTGCTTTGTATAACAGTAAGGATAATCCCGTTCTCCCTTTCCTCTCTGAGCTCATCAGCCATGGACACATCTCATCCCAACCTAGTTCTCTGGCTCAGAATGAATCTGGGCCATATCTCTTGTGAAGTAGAAGCTAATCTATAAGCAGATTCTGTTGAATGAGAAAAAATAAGTTAAAATCTTCTCTTTGATCTCTTTTAGGAGCTGAATTCAAGGTTGAACTTTAAGTCTCCTTCTCCCTGGTTCTTCAAACTATGTAAAGATATCTGTAATAGGTTCAGCTCAGTGGTCTTGTATTGAAAGGCTGTAGTAAGTATATATGAAGTATGAAAGATACTGAGGATACAGATGGAGAAGCCCAGGGATAGTAGCTGGGCTATGTGTTTGTATTTTCACACTACTAACAGGAGAGAGGAAGAGACTAACAAAACTTCTTGTAGAGGAGCAACACGTACAAGAAATATTAACCAAAAGCTGAGATGAGAGTTAGAATCAGGAGATAGATGCTACTCTGAGACCTCGAGGAGGAAAGGCCTTTATTTGTTGTGTCCTAGAATATTTGGAATGAAGAGGAGCTATATGGCCCAGAGCCATAAAGCTCCCTTAGATGATAGCATGTAAGAACAAAATCTATCAAAGTGGTTTAGTGAAGGGACAGGGAGTTAGCAAAGTGTTGGAAGGAGTAGCAAGTTCTGCTGAGGGAGACAGATTCTTCCTGCCTATACACACTGCCATCACCTCTGGGTGCCTGCCAGGTGTTCTGCCCACCTCTTCTCCAAGGAGTTGCCTGGATTTCTGTTCTTGTAATTTTATGTAAATTATCTGGTATTTTAGTTACCTAGTGCTGCCATAATAGAAATAACACAAGTGTGTCATATTAAAGAACAAAAATGTATTTCCTCACAGTTCTAGAAGCTAACAGCCCAAATAAAGGTCTTGTCCATGTCTTCCTTCTGTGGCCTCTTCTGGCTTCTGGCATCTGCTGTCAATCCTTGTGTTCTTTTGCTTGTAGACAATCCTCACATGGTATTTGCTTCTCCTCTGTGTGTGTTTCTGTGTCTATTCTGCTCTTTTTGTGTCACTTAGAAGTGATTAAGTTTAGGACCCACCCTACTCTGGTATGACCTCATTAACATAACAAAAGAAAACTCCCTTTTTCCAAATAGAGTCATATTCATGGGTACAGGGATTAGGACTTCGAAGGAGCTCTGGTAACATACTGCCTAAGGCACTTGACTGCTAACCAGAAGCCACCAGCCACTTCTTGGAAGGAAGATTGGGCAATCTACTTTCGTAGTGATACTGCCTCGGAAACCCAAGGAGTGGTCACTATGAGTCAGGTGTGACTCGACGGCACATAACAACAACAACAACACATATTTGTGGGAGACACAATTCAATCCATAATATCTGGTATTTGTGGTTACATAAAAGAGTAAAACTTGTTTTTACAGAACATCAATGTTTGTCAAAAATAGAAGGCAACTCTATGCTCAGACCTGTGTGGAATCTGGAGGGGAAAGTGTTAATAGAAATGGGGAGAAAACAAAGAAATAGAGAGTCCCTGGATGATTTAAAGCCTGGTATATTGGCAAATCAAGGAGATAATACACATATGGCTGGTTACCTCCCCTCCAGTCATTGGACCCATAGATAAAAGTGAATGTGCAAAATGAAGTCTGACCACACACAACACAGGCATAGCTTTAAGAGCCCTGCTTCACTTCCCCCATCTCTTACTTCTCAATGCATCCTCTCTACTCCAGCCACACTGTCTAGCTGTAGTTCACAGCATCCACCATCAACAGGCACCTCCACTACAGCTTAGCAACATGTGTTGCATCCCTCCTGTGCACTAGCACTGTTCTAAGTGCTTTGTGTTTATTAACTCATGTATCCTTCTAACCTATGAGGGAGGGACTGTTGTGTTTATTTTATTGGCAAGGACACCAAGAAAATGAGAAGCTGCTTCTCTAAAGTCATAGAACCAGTAAGAGGGAGCTAGGTATCAGCCTGAAGGGTCTCTCTAGTTCACAGCTCACACTCATAATCACAACACTGGGCTACTACTCAAAGAATATTTATTGCCTCCAGCTCATGTATGTGCCTAGAGTACTGACTGATACAGCCTGTTTCACATATTAGTGTCTTGGTTCAGACTCTTGTCAGGTTCAAACTTCTTCTGCCATCTTATCCATCTGGAACACCTCACCTCATGAAGTATAAACAGCCACACCCTCCTTCATGTCCTTCTTGGATCCTCTACAGACTTCTACTAAAAACTATTTGCCATCAAGATTATTCTGACTCACGGTGATGGGGATCTGTGTTAGGGTAGAACCATGCTCCATAAAATTTTCAATGGCTATTTTTTTGAAAGTAGACTGCCAGGCCTTTATTTTGAGGTGCCTCTGGGTAAGCTCAAACTTCTTACCTTTCCATTAACAACCCAGTGTGTTAACTGTTTGAACCACCCAGGGACTTACACTACTGCTTCTAAAAAAAAAAAAAAAAAAAAACTCACTGCCAGTGAGTCAATTAGACTGTTATTATTTTACTGCAAATACTCATTTAAAACCCATTTCCTGCCACTGTGAGCCCCATGGTGTATTTATCCTGGCACCCAACCGAAGCACATGACAGGCCCCAACAAAAGTATTCAGTGAATATCTGTAACCCACACTCATTGACACTGGAAAGTTCATGATGATCAGGCAGAATAAAGCAGAATGGAGGTCAGTGGCCCCTCTCAAGGATGAGAGTTCAGACTCCATCCAGCTGGATCCTAGTGTTTGCCCTATGAGCTTCAAGAGGGGACGTTAGTGATTCTCAAAGTTGGCTGTTCATGGGATTACCTGGAGATCTATAAAAAAAATTTTTTGTCCGGGTGCCACCCCCTGAGATTTGTGTTTAATTGATCTGAGGTTTGGCCTTGAGATCCTAATGTGCAGCCAGGGTTAAAAACATTTTCTACACCCTCACTACTCAAAGTGGGGTCCTCGCACCAGCAGCATTAGCATCACTTGAGAGTTTGTTAGAAATTCAGTTTCTCAGGCCCTATCGCAGACCAACTGAATAAAAATCTGAATTGTAACAAGAGTCCTAGGATTGGGGTTCTGCAGTACAGTGAATTACTTGATATGGCTTTTCTAGCCATATTCTTCATAACTTCCATTGGATTAATGGGTGGGGCCATGAAATAAGGTGTGTAGAACTCTGGTGGTGGAATTGGTTAGTTTTATCACTCTGCCAGGCTTAAAATGAGACCTAGAGGCAGAGAGGGGATCTCACTGCCATAAGAGAAAAGAGCTGCAGGTGAAGTGGAGCACATCCTTGGACTTGAAATCCCTGCGATGGACCTCCTTGGCTGAGAGATACCCCCTGGAAAGACTCTCCAGCAGAGAGGTGGTGGCAGTGGAACCAAAAGGCATGAGACAGAGTGACAGTCTTACCTGTCCCACAGAGGTGGAGGCCAGGATGAAAGTCCAAGGGATAGAGAGGAGTGTCTGAGGGCACAGCAGAGGGGAGACTGTCCTGATCAAAGAATTGTATCCTGAGTGCATTCCTGAACCTGAATTGTAAGCTGTTACTCCCCAATAACCCCTAATCATGGGTATTCTCTGTGAGTTCTGTGTGGCCATTGCAATGAATTATTGAACCCAGCAGAGAAGTAGTGAGTGCCATGGGAGGGACAGTTGGTGTCAAAGTTGGTAAAAAGGCTGGAGGGTGGCAGCATGTCTGACCCCACAAGAATAAGTCTTGGGCTGCTGATGGTGATTCTGTCTTCCTCTTGTGAAGTTAGAGGAGGTCAGAAGATGCCACCTCCATGTCCTTTTTTCAGGTGCACATTAGTTTGTGAAGCACTTTGTCCATACTAGTGGTTATCAAAATTGGCTGCCCATGAGGTCCTTTTTTCAGGTGCACATTAGTTTGTGAAGCACTTTGTCCATACTAGTGGTTATCAAAATTGGCTGCCCATGAGGATCATCAAGTGAGCTTTAAAAATATACTGATGCCTGGGTCCTAAACTGTCGTGGTTATATCAGAAATTCTGGTAGTGAGATCTGAGCAATTATAGTTGAATTGTAGAGTCTCAAGTGATTCTAATGCAAGGCCAGGGCTGAGAACCCTGTTCTGGGCTTTATTGTGTTGTCTTCCAATGGTTGGCTCACTCACATGCTAGTTGTTCCTGACTTGACAAGTTTTGCTGCTTATTTGTTCCTAGATTGACATTTACTCCTACCAGGTCAAGCGAATGTGCTCTATCTTCTCATCTTGAATAAAATGTTTTGCTTCTACAACTCCAGTCATGATCCTGGATACTTTAAGTGGAGTCCTCATTTTCCCATCCAAACCCTCCTCCTTCTGCTCTCCTCACTTAGTGAGCAATTCTACCACTACCATCCATGTACCCAGTTACCTAAACCAGAAATCTGAGTGTCCTCCTAGCTTCCACCCTTTTCCTCTTTGTAGTTTCTAGTCAGATACCAAGTCATGTAAATTCTACTTTTAAGTATCTCTCCAAGACATCTCTATCTCCTTAATTCTATGGTCACTCTTCTTCTTCAACCTATCTGAATTTCTTGAGACAATCTCTGCAAAATCCTCCATTTTCTCTTCTCCTTCATTCTTGCCCTCTTCCATACAGCCTCTGTATTGCAGCCAGAGTGATCTTTCTTAAAGAAAATTGTATTTTATTTGCATTTTACTTACTTATTATTGTGATTTGGGTGCAAGTTTATGGAGCAGATGGTTTTCCATTCAACAATTCATACTCATTTTGTTTTGTGACATTCATTGCAATCCCACAATGTAACATCAGTCTTCCCACTTGCTCCCTGTGTTTACCACTTCCCTTTGTCCTTCTTTCCTATCCCTTCCTGCCTTTTTATCCCTAAGCAAATGCTGCCCTTTTGATCTCATATGGTGGATTGTTCTAATGAGTGCACATATTCTTGTATTATTGTTCACCTTTTGGACTTGTCTGTCATTTGACTGAAAGTTGAGCCATGGAG